ATTAAGCTCTCAATTGCTAATACAGGTTGGTGGTGTGGACCCATACAGAGGCACCGTGGAAGAAAGGCCTGGTGATGTTCTTCCCAAAGGTCCCAGCCTTGAAAACACTCAGGAGCACGGTTCTACTTTGCAACACATGGGACCATCACGAGTCAGAACTGACTTGGTGGCAACTCTGTGTGGTTTCCAGGTTGGGGGTGGTCTTGGTGGTGTGTTGTTGTTGGTTTGGGTTTGTTTTTGTGTTTTTTTCTTTTTTTGGGGGGGGGGGGGTTGTCCAGAAAGGACAAAGTACCCAAGGAGCTGAGGCTTCAAAATAAAATGTGAAAGCAGCTAGGAGGGTGTGGCTGATGAGTCCCAGGCCTCTGAATTTCACTCTCCTCTGACATGCTCCCAGATTCCATGAAGATCCCCCGCCTTTGGCAAACCAAACACAGGAGTGAGTAATGCAGTGGGGCGGATGGGATCATGCCCAGTGCGACTGGGCCTTGAGGGCCCATCCGCCTCTGTTGTCAGACACTGCGTTTCTAGCCTCTCCACTTCTGTTCACTCTGGGCCTTTGTTCTCCATGGGGTGGGGTTTCCAGAGCTTGGCGCCCCTCCGTCTCGCCTGATTTTCATCACTTTCACTCTGAGCTGGGGGTCAGGACTGGGGAGGACCAGACCGCCAGTCCAGTCTGCTGGGAGCCAAGCCTGTCCCAAGAACACCAGGCCCAGATTCAGTCCAGATTTCTCCTCGAGGGGGCTGAGAGCAGAACCAAGCAATCCACAGAAGAGGCTCCTCACAAAGCCTCGGAAGTTCTTCCCCTTTCCCTGAAGCTCAGGGTGCTGGGTGTGGCACCCACAGCCACAAAGGAAGCAATTCAGGAGAATGAGCGAGGCCATGCTGTCTGCCGCACGAGGCCCCTGCCTGATGGAGCAGCTCCGGCTTAGACTAGAAGTCTGGGAGGCAGGGTCTAGGCTCAGCTCTGCCACTCAGTAACTCTGTGGCCCGGTTCTCTGGAGACAGTGTAATGAAGTCAGGACACTCGGGGTTTGGAGTCAGGCAGGTGAGAAGCCACATCTAATACATCTCTCACTCTGGCCAGCCAACACACCCTCCTGGCTAGCCCCTGATCACCTTAGGTATAAAGTGGAGGAGGTGGCCAGCCGAGTATGTGTTTTAACAGGTGGAAGAATATCCTGGAGCTAAACCTCAGTTCCGGTTTCCACGCTGCCACTTATCAGCCCTGTGATTGTGGGCAAGTGGCTCAACCTCCCTGTCCCTCAGTTGTCTCATCTGTAGAATGGGGCTGACAAAGCTAGTCCCACCCTTGTCGGGCTGTTGTAATACTGAAATGAATGGATTCAGGTGAACCACTGCAAGCACCCACGCGGTATAAGTTATTCGCACTTGTTACACAATTACTTATAGGACACAAGGTTCAAGAGCCTTCCCTGGGTTGCCCACCTCCGAAAGGTTGTGTCAGGGAGTCCGAATTGGAGGTTCCGTCTGCCCAGCCCCCTCCCATACTTACTCTGTAACATGGGAGTGAGGCCTGCAGAAGCTAAGGCTCTGGTGGGCCTGGGGATCCCCAGGGACTATGCCCGGAAGGTCCCGGCCCCTGGGAGTAGTGCTGCTATTGGTGCAATGTTGGGGCCTGTGGTTCCCCTTCCTTCAGTCTGAGAGCTGCATTAGGAGGAGGGCTCCATCCTTGGGAAGATTATGAGCAGCGGCCTGGTGTGTCATTCATTCCCAGACTAGTGGATGGCCTGGCCCCCGCCACCTGGAGGGACGCCCGGGAGAGGGGGGTCTGCAGGATCTGAGTCGACCCAGCCCTGAGTGCACCACAGAACCAAGCGATGAGGGAGGGGGTGGGGGAGGCGCTGCCTGCAAGGGGTGGGGGCTAGGGATGGGATGCAGAGGAGAGCTTCTCTGAAAGATGGTCTCAGAACCGAGAGGCAAGCAGGAGGAACCGTTGCTTATCTGCACCTGGCCAAGTGAACTTCCCTGAGCCTTGTTTTCCTCTGTGAGAGGCGGCCTGATTGCATCCCCTTCTGGGGAAGTGCCTGAGGTTCCCTCAGGTGCTGGGTGAAAACCAATCACCCTCAGCCGAGTCCAACTCATTGGCGACCCCTTGTGTATCCGAAGAGAACTGTGCCCTGCGGAGTTTCCAGTAGCTGCTCTTCGGAAGATGCACCTTGACATAGACTTGAACGGCCAACCTTTAGGTTAGCAGGCAAGCACAGTCACTGCTTTTAAACACAGGTGGACTCCTGATGAATGTAAAGGAACCAGCATGACCTCACGCCAGCTACATCCCCAAGAAGCACGCGATGGGTTTGGTTCATGGCTTTATGCCGGACTGCAGGAGCTCTGGGGCACTGTGGCTCAGCATGCAGCTGCCGACCTTCGAACCCACCAGCCCCTCTGGGGAAGATAACGGCCAGCCGTCAGCTTCGGTGCAGATCACAGCCTCGGAAACCCAACGGGGCCATTGCTCTCTGTAGGGCTACTATGAATTGGCATGAACTTGACAGCATTGGGTTTGTGCCTGCCCGGGAAGCTGTTTGGCGAATGGAATTTCTTTTTCAAGGGTCTCATCTTAGTGAGCTAGTGTTGCTATAGCAGAAATACCACAGGGAACAAATTCTTTCTCTCACAATGAGATGAGAGGCTAGAAGTTCCCATTCAGGGCATAGGGTAGGAGCCAACTTTTTCTCTGCATTGGCTCCCAGGGAAGGGCCTTGTCATCTTCCATCTTCCCCTGGTCCTGGGACTTTCTCAGCACAGGGACCCTGGGTTCAATGGATCACTCTCTTCCTGGATCTTCCTTGGTGATAGTAGATTCCTCTGATCTCTGCTTCCTTGTTTAATCCTTTTTATATCTCAAAAGAGATTGACTGAAGACACCCCCTAACCCTGTTGATGGCAGCCTGACTCAAGAACACAACTGCCTCTAGTTCTGCCCCGGTAGCATCATAGAGGTGAGGATTCATAATCCAGGGCAGTTCCATCAGGTCACCCAATGGAGGATCATTCTATAATGCTGAGTCATTACCCAGCCAAGTGGACACACTGATACCTATTTGATGATCTAGGGAGGGCACAGTTCAGTTCAAAACAGGTCTTTTCTCTTTAAAAAAATTGACATCTAGTAACTTCGAGTAATTTCCCCACTGAGAGAGGTGGACACCTGGGCTCAGAGAGATTCCTTCACCCCAGGCACACAGTGCTTTAACTGGGCACTGGAATTGAAACCCCAGGCTCGCCCTGGGCTTCCTCAGTCATGGGAGGACATGCACCTGAAGGCCCACACCTTCTCCACTGGGTTCCATACCTAGGGTTGAGGAGACCTGAGTTTCTACTCATGACATGCTGCCCCAGAGGCCTTTGGACCACCATCAGCCCGAGGCTCAGGCCCCCCATCTTCCAGAAGGCTGCTCAAATGCCCTTCATTCCCAGATAGAGGTACCTTTGCCTTCCATCAATGTGGAGACTGGTCTGTCCCCTCCCTATGTGGGCCTAGGGAGGCCTGTTAGATGGGGTTGCCTTGAAACCTCTGCTGTCTGAAAGGCAGCAAGAGCCTTTAGACATTTTTAGGAATTTGGGAAGGAGCCATTGGGCTGAGTCTGTGCTAGAGATGGGCTAGGGCTAGCGCCCTAGCTAAAGATGGGCTGTGGTGATGGGAAGGAATACCTGGTAGATCGAAGCCATGTTTGCAGTTCATTAAGACCACGGGCCAGCTCTTTGCCATGAAGCCAGAACTAAGTGGTGCTTCGCTGCCACTTCTGAACAGTTTGATCAAAGATAATTTCGGAAAATCCTGATCAAAAGGTGGGAAATGCGGAACAGAATCTCAAATGCTCATGGAATCCATATTTTTCTGGAGCTTGACCAACCCCAGAAACTAGTACTCTGAAATAATCTTTGAACCTCAAACCAAAAACATAACCACTACCCCCCAAAATCTTAAAACCAAGCGGCAATCCAGTTTAACTGCTGAAGAATGTCTGCCTTGAGCACTGTGCTCTTTTACGGTCTATCTATATGGGATCAAATTGTCAACAGCAACGCAAAGGGTAGCGCATGTGTATGAAGAGGTGAGGAACATCTGGCAAAGGAAGGTGGGAACCCCTGCAGAACTGAAGGGGCACCCTCCGAGTCACTGGGTTAAGCTCTGTTGACTCCGTCCCCGCCGTGTGTTCTGCTGTAGTCTCAACAGCAACAAATCGAAAATAAATTGTATGTGTTTTCAAAAGACCGTGCATGGGCTGGGGAGGGGGCACCTGCTGAGGGACAGTGGGAGGGAAGGTGATCTGTCTGGTTAGGTTGGTTTTTTACTTGCCCCAAAGCAGTGGTTCATAATACTTTCGAGCATAGAGGCCACACCTCCCACCCCACCCCAAAGCATGCACACCCAGTTTTCATCATTTGTCAAGGGGGTTCCCCGGAACTTCTTGAAATTCCTTGGTAAACTCTGACTCAGAGACCCCTGGGCTAGAAGAAGGGGAAATGACTGGGGAGTCCTCTGCTCTCCTTGCCTTTAACATTTAACTCTTTTTTCACTAATCATTCTAGCTCTGATGGGGGAAGCTCCCAGCCCCACCTCGCCGAAGGATGGGAGAACTCTTTTACCTTTCGGGTCCAGCGGGATCAGGGAGTGGGCATCATGCTTCTTTGGATCTGCTATTGGGGACCCCCTCGGGAGGTGGGACTTAAAGTTTCTTTGTAGAAAAGAGGATCGCCCCCCAAGACTTCTTCCTGCCCGCTAGGCACTTGTTTGTGGAGTACCTCGGGAGAAAGGAGCACCCCTTCCCTCTCCCCTGCGCTGGGACATCAGCGAGCTGGCGGGGAAGCGGTGGGGAGGGTCTTTTCCAGTGAGGGAGGGGCCTAGAGTGGGAACCGGAGCCCGGCGCCGAGTACGCTCCGCCCATTAGTCCCGCCCCGCTCCGCCCCGGTGGCCTGGCCCTCCCTCCCGCCGGGCGCCCAGCAGTGGCGGCAGGGACCCGAGTGTCACCGGGCGCAGCATGCGGAACCTGTGGCTGCCCCACCCGGTGGCCGCCGCGCTGTCGGCGCTGAGGGTGAGGCGTGGCGTTGCATAAGCGTGGAGGGGGCGGGGGGGACGTAGACCCCCCCCTCTTCCGCGGTGGGCCGGCCTGTGGGCTCCTCTCGGGTGTCCTGGCCGGGGCGCGCTGGTCGCTTCCCCATTGGCGAGCAAGAGCCATGGAGACACTGAGGGAGTCCGTGCTGCACTTGGCCTTGCAGATGTCGACCTACAAGCGAGCCACGCTGGATGAGGAGGACCTCTTGGACTCTGTCTCCGAGGGCGACGTGTACCCCAACGGCCTACAGGTAAGAGCTCACCTGCCCTGACCCTCTGCACTGCATGGCGCCCCAGCCACAGGCCTGGCATTCAGGCAGGAGCCCTCCCTGCCAGTCCCACTGACTGGCAGCTCCGTAACACATGCCCAGGCTCATCAGGGAGAATCCAGAATACTTTCTAGAGCCAGAATGCCCACCGGCCTCCACGGACCAGCCAGCTCTGCCTGTCACTAAGTCCTCTAACCCCCTGCCCTGGGGCCACAGCCCAGAGTTGAAGGATCCCCCAAACCTGAACTTAATCCAATTCTCTTTTCACTACAGAGGCAGTTCGAGTGACCTAGGACTTGGCCAGGGTCACCGGACCAGTTACTGGTGGAGTCTAAAAGGTTCCCAGTTTTAGTGAGGAAAATCTTACATCTCTGGAACCCTCCTCCCCGACCCCACCCCCGAATTCATGGGCAGATAGGGACGGTTAGTCACCCTGTCAGCAAAGTCAGAGTCTGTTCAAGGCCCACAGCAGAAAAAAACTGGCAATCTGCCCCCATAAAGATTCACCTAGGAAACCATATGGGGCAGTTCTGCCCTATGGATGCGGTCACAGCAGCAACCACCATCACCTGCCCTACAGCATCTCATGTGCTTGTCAGGAGCAGCCCGCTGAGCTGTGGGGCTGACCCGCCCCACTTGCAGATTTAGAGCAGAAACGACTTCCTGTAGGGCCAAGAGTAAAAAACCAGGTGTGAGAACTCAAACCCAGGTGGGCGAGGACCTCCTCCCTGTGGGCCCTCCTCAAGAGGCTGAGCCCAGCAGGAAAGCGGATTTGTGTGGCAGGCACTTTCCCTTCACAAATCTCATCAGCGATCTTTTTCAGTCTCCTCTTCCACAGGAGGTTCTAAAAATATCAGCGCAAAAGCATTTTGGCATTCACAACAAAGATAATAGGCTAGGTTGTTGCGGTCATCATCCTAGCAGCCCACCTGCTTATCAGATCACAGAGTGCGCCCCGCCCGTCCACCTGAGGCCAGAAGAGTCCTGTCTCTGAAGCTGGGGACCTGGGTTTGAGTCCTGACTCCACTCATGACTGGGCGTGCCCCTTAATCCTCCTTTAAGCCGCAATTTCCTCATCTGTGAAATGGAGGCTGGAGAAAGTGGATACAGAGCACACAGCGGGGGGCCTGCTGGGATGACGGCTGTTGTTTTTCTGACTTATGAGGTAAGGGTGGCTGTTCCCACATTACAGATGATGAAGCTGGGTCGCAGAGAGAGGAGCATTCCTGTGGCCACACAGTTATTGTGTGGGTTGGAATCTCGAGTGGATTGCCCTATACTGAGCGTCAGAACTGGGCACATCTTCAGTTTTTCATGCAGAAAAAGCCACACCCACACACACACACACACACACACAATTGTCCCAATGATTTGGGCTATTTCTGCAGGTACCCTAACCCTTCACAACAAAGTCAGAATAGCTCTTACCTTGAACCAGCTCAAGAATCAAAAAACTCACCCACCTCAACATACAAAGCTGCTTTCTGTTCACTGCGTTTTTCATCCCACCCCCACCCTGCCGGAATCTAAGAGTGTTGCATGCTCATTTGTGAAAGGGAGGGATTTTAAATGGAAAACAGTAATCCCACCCTTGGGAGACACCCACTTAGCATTTTAGGTAGTTTGTTCCTAGTATTTTCTATGTGTGCACATCTTTATAGGCATATAGTGGTGCATGCTCTAATATATGGTGTTGGGCCTTTTCTCTCTCTCTCTCTCTCTCTCTCTCTCTCTCTCTCTCTCTTTCAATGCCACTTCCTAAGGATTGCCCTTTGTGGTTGAAAACTTTGCTACCATCAAAGATCATAGCACCTTAGAGTACAAATGTACAAAATGTGTTTATCTAATCTGTTGTCCTTGGACAAACGGCTAGACTCTACCTGGATTTCCTGAATTTCTTCTCCCCTTCCCCAGGGTGTGCCCCCGTGGGTGTCTCATATGTCTCACCACTTTTGCTCTACTCTCCCTACAGAGGCTGGGTGGGAGCCAGAGAGGTAGGAATGCCAGGGACACCCAAGGAGCCCCTGAGGAATCCTAGGTGACCATATGTGCTAGTTTTCCAGGTCATTTCCTACGGAATGGCTGCCAGAGACATCATTGTTCCCTCAATTTTAGGCTTTTTAAAAATTGGCCTCATTCCCCCAAACCACTTGCTCTTCACAAGCAGCTATAAAAATAAGACAATTTGATTTTTAAGATTTTGAAACCCTTTGGTTCTAGAACCTCCAGGTTGCCATACCCGAGTGACACGAAGAATCTTATCCAGGAACAACTCTCCATTTCCCCCCAGACTTGCCACTTCTATGATGGGACGTGCTAGCAAAGAGTGTCAGATTTAGCTAGAGACCCAAAAGTTAGAGGGAATTTACAGCTGTGTCACTGACCTGAAAGAGCTCTTCTTCTTGCCTGGTTCTCATTCTTGGCCACCCACTGAAATGAGTCCCTTGAAGGTCAAGGGCAGAACTCAAAGCCAGGGAGCATGGACCCCCAGCTCTCTGTCTCTCCGAGGTTATGGGGCCTAAGAGCACCTCCAGGGAAGAGTTCACTTTGTCTAGTGGAGCTCATACTATTAGCCTGCCTTTCAAAGCTGGTACTAAGACAAAATAAATGGAAGCTTTCTGTGTCGAGTGCACAAAACGGGCGTACTTGTTACCGGGATGGTGGTGATCATGATTAAGAGAGAGACGTTTATATCGGGAAAGGAACTTAGGTTAAGAGTGTGGCTCACAAAGCCAGAGAGCTAACTAGCCCAGCTCCAGCCTTATTATTGAAACCTACCAGGCATGGCCTACCAGGGATTCCCTAAATAGCTTTTTCAGCCAACTTCTGCTTGGCTAAGCCCGACCTCTCTGCCCCCAGCATGCACCACGTCAGTGGCTTGAAGGGAAGTAACCAAAATTGTTGCACTCAAACCCGAAACTCAGGTACTGCTCTCTGAAATCTCTACCATTCGCCCAGTCACTTTCTCTCCCTCTCAAGAAACAAGGAAAGCTGAGACATTAATTCTTATTAGGACTTTTTCTCTGCATGCACGGGGCTGTTTCTCGGGGGTAGTTTCAGGGACAGTCCCCTTCAGCACTTTAAAAAGACCTCTCTGCTTACCAGGAGGTTCTTCAATACCACCCTACTTGTTAGATACTAGTGACTGAAAGCCCTTCTAGAATCAGGAATGGTCAGACCTGAAGCCTTGCCTGGCTTCCTCATCAGAGACAGGGACCGAGGCCAGAGAGGCAGGCAAAACTCTAAGCTGATATCAGTAGTTGGAAGAAAGTTTGGGTGTGGAGGCAGAGGGCAAATAGGGCCCAGGCCAGAGGACCAGAGAACATTATAGTTTTGCTCTCAGCTGGCCCCAGTGACCTCAGCCGGAAGTCCACCTCATGGAAACTGTACTGGAAGATACTTCCCCAAACAGACTCCCTCCAAGAGGCCAGGCACTCCATTGAGCAAACTGTCAAGGTCTGCCTGCCCTGAAAAGCTGACTCCGGGGCAGGCAGCCTGGCCCCCCTGCCAGCTTTCACTGCAGCAGCCTGGCTCCTGGGCCACAGGTCAGCTCCCCACCAAGCCCCTGACCAAACTGCTCTGTTTGCTGCTCCATATGCAGCCCAGGTCTCAAGGTCCCCCGCTGTGGCTCCTGAGGAGCAGCCTCCTCTCCAATTCCCCTGCTTCCTCCCCAAATAAATTGGGCTCTGCCCAGCGTCCTCACCCCCTCTGTGGCTGGCTTGCCTCCTAGGCCCAAGGCTGTGGCCCATCCTCCATCTGCGCCTGCAGAACTTGTTCTTACTCTAAGCCTAAGTGAGCCAAGCACTCACTTCTGTAACCAAATATTTATCCCACACCAGGGCTTTGTTTCCTTGGCTGTGAGACACAGGGAGCCCCTGGGCCTCCCAGCCCGGCTCCCTTCCCTCTCTGCCTCTCTTCCCTCCTATCCCGTCTCTCCAGGGCGTTCCTTTCTGTGCCTCACAGGACAAGATACAGGAAATGGAACCTGCCAGTGGTTCTCAGCAGCTGCTCCTTGGCTGATGGCCACTTTCCCAGTTACCTCTCCTGAAACGGATTGGGGAACTTACCGTCAACCCTCCTAAGCCACCAATCTGCAGCAGACCAGTTTCTCATGATTGACATACCCCCACTTCCAGAGGGCAAGTGAGAAAGCACTAGCAACCCCCAGCTGGGACCTCATCTCCCAGGCTCCTCTGCTCCATCCTGTCATGGATGCCAGGCAGGTGTGAGCTGGCTCAGGAGTGGACAGCCTCTTCTGAAGAGGCCCTAATTCCCCAAAGCAGTGCCTTCAGCTGACTTCGTCCCTCTTCTCCCTTCCCCAAGGATGTCTCTGGATAAGACAAAAGCTTACCTAGAAACCAAGAGGCCCTTGGTCCAGCAGTGTAAGTTGAGGGAAGCACATTGCAAAAACTAAAAGCTTGATTCTTGGATTCCGTTGGCTCCTCTTGCCTGGGCCTTTGAATCTTTAATTTAATTCTGACTTAATTCTAATTTAATTTCACAGTGAACACCATCTGTTTAGATTCCGCACTTTGCTTGACATCAAACAAAAAGGCCCCTCTGGGGATCATGCTGGCTAATTTGGGCTGAGGCCACCAGTTCTGGAGAGCTGGGCTGCCCCACTCTCTTCCTTCCCTCCCTCCCTCCTCACACTTCCTGTGTTTCCTCTGGAGTTAACACTGGGACAGCTAATACTAACACATATTCCTGGTGATCTGGTGAAGGTAGAAAAGAGAATTAACACCATGCCACAAACACACACCAATGTCACCCATCTCCTTGGAGTCGAATCCAACTGATAGCAACTCTAGTGGACAGAGTCAAACTGCCCCATGGGGTCCCAGAGACTGTGAATCTCTCCAGGAACAGTCGGCCATGTCTGCCTCCCGAGGCAGGGCGGCTGTGTGCTTCACTACTGTGCCACCGTTCCATGTAGTTCATTCGTCTTCCTCCATGTCCCCTTCCCCTTTCTGCATCCTTGCCATCCCCAGCCCCAAGCTGAGTCATGATGATGGGGGCACCGAGTGAGCTTGAGGTGAAGGAAGGGGGAGGCAGGCAACAAATCCAAACACAGAATGGCAGTAAGGAAGTGTACAAGAAATGTCAGCACCCCCACGCGAGGCAGCATCTGTCTCACGCGCCTGGTGCCCAGGGTAGACCCACGAGCTCCGGTGTCTCTGGAAGAGCGCTCGGTCACCTGTGAGCATGGTGATCACATTCAATTGTCCCAAGTTCTCTCTGCTCCAGGCCCTTGCAGCCTAGAGTCTCTCACTTATCAGACGTCTCCATTTCTCACGTTTTAAAACAAGTGTCTTACAGGATCCCCTCCTCCTGCCATCTGATGCCACTGCCTTAGGCCTGGGCTCTGAGGAGGTGAGCGCAGGGATTGGTCAGCCTGGACCTCTTTGGAAGGAACATCAGACCTTCCGTTCCTTCTCTGGGTCTCAGGACCCCGCCTGGCGGGATTTCTTCAGAAAAGACCTCAGGCCGCAGTTCTTTTTCTCCATTTCATTTCCATTTCTTCCTCAGAAAGTTCACTGTTCTCTCCAGTCCCGCTCATTTCCTGCCCAGAACACACCCATGGATGGTCAACCTGGTGCTTCCATGCCCTTCCCTGAGGGGCCTTGCCGCACACCTCCTGGGCCAGGCTCCCTCCCGCCCAGGCCCTGCATCCCAGGAGCAAGCACCCCTCCAGCTGCTGGTGGGCACTTTGCAGCCTGAGATCTGGGTCTCTTCTTCAGCTGCCCCCGGCACCGCCTCCTTAGGAGTCCCCTTGTATGCACTCCCCTCCAAGCCTGGCTCTCCCTCACCTTGACCTTTCCAAAAGGTGATTCTAAACTTGCCACTCTAGCCCTTGGGCAAAAAGTGCCAACTTGTTAAGCTGGCTTCTGGCCAGGGCGAGGGGCTGGGCTGGGCCTCCTCACCTCACCCCTATGCCCTCCAACCCCACCTGGCTTCACTTCGCTGCTACATAAAACCCAAAGCCCGTGTCCCTGCTGTGGAGTGGGTGCTGATTCATAGCAGCCCACAGGCATCGCCCCTACAAGCAGTCTTCTTTGATTGAACCCCCGCTGGTTCCTCATTTGGGTTTGGTTTGACGTGTGGAGAGGAAATTGAGTTTCCATGTGGCAGCGTCCACGTTTCCGTTTTGTGGCATTGGTGCCGTCCAGTCAGTGGAAGAGCATGTTTTCCGATTCCGCCCCGGGTTCCCTGGTTCTCTTCATCTCTTGCCTGCCTGCCTGTTGAGCTTTGTTTCTGAGCAAATGCTGCTTTTCCAGTCCCTGATCGTTGTTCCCAGGTGCCCCTTCCCCGCAACACTATTGTTCGCTTTATAGGCCTGTCTACTGTTTACATCCTGAGGGTGGATTCAGATCCAGGGTGAAGGGCCACAGCTTAGGGGTTCCACCACTGTCACTCAAACCAGCAAGTCTAGTCTTTTTGATGATTTTGCATTTTGTTCTACATTTTTCTCCCACTTTGTCCAGAGCCTTCCGTTATGATCCAGAACAGCGTGGTGGGCAGTCGCAGCAGGGCACCATCTAGCGCTTCTGATTCTCCAGCTGGTAGAGACTGTAGGTAGTTCATTGGGTTCACTACTCCTTGGGACTAAGCGTTTCCTTGAGTTTCGTTTTGTTATGGTTTTCCCTTCGCTCTTCTAGGCTCTGGATGGAGAGAGGCCAAGTATCGCGTCACAGATGGCCACTCCCCAGTCTTTAAGACCCCAGTTGATTCCAAAGGAGAATATAGAACTTTGTTGTGCCACTTAACTTAGAGCCTAAGTTCCTAAACTTGGCCTACTGCTCTCCAGGAAAAAAAAATTACTCAGCATCCACTTGGCAATGAAAAGCTTTTGTTCTATAGCCCATGATGATGGTAGATATCTGCTTTTGCAACCCCTCCCCCCAGCATTGTTCCAGCAGCCCCTGGGGGCAATATCTCCCACCTCGGGGAAACACCACCCTAGACCTTCCCGAACTGTGGTCCCTAAGCTCCCAATGACTCATTCCCTCAAGGTCTCTGGTTATGGCTGGGATTCATAACTTTGCCCTGGTGTGCTCTACTGTATTCATGGGTATATTTGTAGCACACATAAATAGGTGGGGGCTTCAAAGAGTTTGTATAAAAATAGAATATAAGTGAGTGGAATTTTCCTGCCAGCTCTTTGAAGCACCCCCCATAAACCAAACCAAACCCAGTGCCATCGAGTCAAGGCTGACTCATAGCGATCCCCCCTGTGGGTTTCCAAGACCGTAACTGTTTACGGGAGTCCTAAACCCAGTCTTTCTCCTGTGGAGCGGCTGGTGGTTTTAAACTGCCAGCAGACCATGTGGGCTGCAGCCCAACACGTGACCACTGCACCTCCTGGGCTCCTATACATATGCAGAAATCGCCTTGGCTAAACCCACCCATGCATGTGGATGTGGTCCCTGTTTCTCTGTCCCCTGGCTGGGCTGTGAGCAGCTGGAGCAGACCTGGAGCATTTCCATTGTGGCCCTGAGTCCCTGGGCCAAGCCCCGCCTCTAGAAGGACCTTCCTGTGTGGAGCTCCAGCTTTGGTGGGGACACCTCAAGGAACACAGGGAAACCCTGCACTGGCCTCAGGTGTGAAGCACCTGCGCTACGGCCTCTGAGTCCTGGTGACTGGCATGTCACCCCCTCGAACTTGGGAGGCCCCGTCACACCCTCTGCTTCCGCTCATTGTGCCTCCCTTCCTGTTTAGCTAGCCTGTTCAGCTGGGGGCATTTTCCCTCCCTTTAAGGACTTGCCAGAATGGAGCAATATTTCTCCTGACATCTCCATCTCCCCCAACCAGTTCCTAAGACCGGTATCTCTGACCCACTGGAGGGCTCCCAAGGCGACTGGCTTGGGATCAACTCCCAGTTCATTCAGCCGTGAGACTGGGACACGGCTCTTTGGACCTGCATCCTCACCTGAATTGGAGATGAAGAAATTAAATGAGGACGGCAAGAAATGAGAATGCAGGCCCCGTGGGCCTGTGAAGGGTTAATGGGCCAGGCCTGCCTGTGCTCCTAGGCAGTGCCACCACATGAGGGCCACGGGGGACTGTAAGGGGAGCCCAGTTAGACACTCCCTGAATGCCTGCAAGTCCAAACATCCTGCTCTTTTTTGAATTCCTTACAGGGGAAACGTGGCTTTGTTTCTGTTCCTTCCACCCATATCGGGTGACACGAAAAACACCGGCCCAGCTGGGTTGAACTACCGACTCGCTGATGTTTGGGAGTGAATCTGAGCTGCCGGGCAGGGTGGCCCTGTCTTTCCTGGATTAAGGCTGAGTCTGTGGGAACCAGACCACCTCTGAGACCGCAGGGTGACCCTGATGGCTCCCCGGGGCCTGGGCCTGCAACGGAGCCCCTTCCTCCTGGGGAGGAGGGGCCCTGGGCTCATGCTCTCCCCACCTCTCCTGCCTCCTTCCCTGCAGGTGAACTTCCGCAGCCCTCGGAGCGGCCAGAGGTGCTGGGCGGCAAGGACCCAGGTGGAGAAGCGGCTGCTGGTGCTGGTGGCGCTGCTGGCGGTGGGGCTGGTGGCCTGTGTGGCGGCACTGGCCGTCCAGTACCGGACAGGTAGGTGCCTCCATGCTGAGGTCCAGGCGTAGTTCATGCCTGTCCCCGGTTCGGTTCGTGCTGGCACTGGCCCCCAAGCCCAAGAAGTGGAGCTGGCCTGGAAGGCTAAGGTAGCTGAGGCAGACTGAGCAGGGACTGGGAGGCAGGTCTGGGGTTGTGAAAAGGACATGAACCCAGATCCTGGTCCAGCGACTTCTTGGTGGCATGACCTTGGTCAAGTCACCTGGCCTGCCCACCTGTATCTTTACTTGAAGGGGGGGTGGGGGTGGAGGCAGCAGCGCCCAGGCTGAGGATGACTTTGTGATCCCATCCTCAGAGGTGACATGCCTGGCTTCTTTCCCTTTTGCAGTGGGTGCTCTCGGTAGGAGGTGGGCTAATTAGACACACTGGTTAGGAGTCTTCGGTGCAATCAAACGGCTTCTGTTTCCTGGTGATTTTCCGGGCAGCCACACCGCTGCTCTCTAGGTGTGACCTCATTTCCTCCTCACAGTAGCCCTGTGAGGTACAGTCACCACAGCCCCATGTTACATCTGTGAAGTGAAGGCACTCCGACTTTGGACTTGCTGGAGGTCACAGGGCTGGGAGGGAGGGAGGGAGGGAGGGAGAGGTTCCTCCTCCTCAGGAAGCCCCTGGACCTCCAGGAGTGCTTGGTGTGCGTGCGTGCTGCATGCTGCGTGCTTTGGGCTCGAGAAAGCCCTGGCCTGGAAAAGCTGCCCTTGGTGAGCCACTCCTGTAATAGCGAGATCTCACTTACCTGGCTCGTCTGTATTGATAGTGAGCACTTGAGCCTGACCCCACTGCCAGGGCCCTGAGGCTGGTCTTCCTGGCCTCTCGCCAAGTGCCTTCCTCAGGTTGGATGCTCATTTCTGGGACAAGAAAGAGCAGGTCCAAGTTAAAGCACAAGGCTGGGGAGGCCCCACCAAACCCCTTGCTCTGATTGCAGATAGACCTCTTGACGGTGGGTCCTCTGAGGGGTCTGCTCAGGGTCCCACCCCTCCAGCTTCAAAGAGACTGTGACCCTTCCCAAGTCAGAAAAACGTATTCCCCAGGCTGAGGCAAACCTTGCCCCTCGGTCAGGTTGCTGTCCTGCATGGGTGGCTGTGCTGAACTGGGGTGGGGACTTATCCTGGCCTCCCTCCCGGCTCAGGTGCACAGCCATTCATTCAAACCTTCGTTTGTTCCCTAATCACTTAGTGAGCGCTTACTCTGCACCAGGAACTGGGCTGAGCGTGTAAAGTGGTGCTTAAGAATAATGGAGTATGTAACTGACCCTTTAACAGTTTGTAGTTTGTTTTTATTTTATTTTTACAAAATGTACCATTACTGTGCCTAGCCCCACGAGCACTTGACAACATTTGATCGACTGGTTAATGGTTTCCTGGCCCGCAGCCATGTGTGCTTGGCCTAAGCTTGTAGTACCATGGGTATGCAAATAATCTGCAAAATGATTGATTGGAGGGACGGAGGAACTGGGAGAGGACTGGGTCTGGGCCAGCATTTCCCCACTCGTGTCCCTCCCCCTCAAGTCAGCTTCCATTCAGAACACCCTGTCTGTCCTGTCCGTCTGGACCCCGGGAGCCCCCCTGCCCAGTTCTCGGCCCTGGGTGTGAGCAGATCAGACTCCAGCAGCCAGTGGTGGCCCTTAGGTCTTCCCAGGGCCTACTTCCCCGAGCCAGCAAAGAGCCCCTGGGGACCAGCTCCTAGAGATCAGGCCCAAACAAGAGAGACCTGCTGTTCTTCCCAGGTGGCACCCACCGGTCACCCACCTCGAGACTGTCCAAGGATCTTTCCCAGGCCTGGAACAGAGTGAGAGGGTCAACCTGTCTGTCCATAGCAGAGGATGGGGGCCCAGTTTGACCGCATGGACTAGGATGACCTGGGAAAACAGTAGCCACCCCAGATCTCAACAGCAGGCGCTGGCACAGACCATGTCTAAGTAGACCCTAGGCCTGTCAAGACCAATCCGCTGATGACCCCGCAAGGCCCACCTGCAAGTGAATGTCTGGACCCTGGTCGTATCTATCCACCTTGCTGCTGCACCCTCCTCTCCAGACACCGCCGGTGCTTCGCAAGCACTGGCAGGAAAGCAAGCAGCTAATCCTCCCAGGAGATCCTCTGAAGTGTCTTTCAGAGTGTCAAGGCCAGGGGCGTCTAGGTAAGTGTCTGTGAATTCCATCCGGCACATGGCCCTGCCTTCTCTACTGGTCACCCCCAGCTGCGTGAAGAAAAGGAAGACTTTCTACCTCCAGGGTGGTGACTGAGTGCTGGACAAAGTTCTTTCACCCGTTCACTCATCATTCAACCATTGATTCGTTGATCCAGCAAACCTGTGTGGAACAACTGCAGTCGTAAGACTGCACAAACCATGACCTCATCTACCCTGAGACCAGAAATCTTGGATGGTGCCCAGCTCCACCACTGAGCCTGCTCATGGGGGCCACAAGAGATGGCCCAGGATAGAATGGGTTATAGTCTCGGTAACTCACAGGGACAGTTCTACCCTGTCCTATAGGGTTGCTCTGAGTCCGCGTCCACTCGATGGCAGTGAGGAGGTTATGCAGTTTAAAAAGCATTCATCACAATAATGGAGACTATAACTCTTTACGGGAGTAGAAAGCCCTGTCTTTCTCCAGCAGAGTGGCCAGTGGCTTTGGACTGCTGGCCTGGCAGGTCGAAGGCCAGTGTGTAACCACTGCACCAGCAGGGCTCCTTTTCAATTGCACAGTCACCGCAAGACAGAGATTTTCCTCAAAGTAAGAAACCCTGGTGTTCCCACCGCTGTGTAGCTCCTCTGAGCCCTCAGCCAGCCTGCAGGACCTTGCGTTGTCATCGGATGTTAACAAGCCCCACGTTCACCAGTGGTCTGTGTGTTCTGAGTGACCGTCTCCAGCAGTCTCTCAAGATTGGCCCCTGGGAGCACCTATTGTTTCTACTCAAGCTACAGGAAGGAAAACCTGACAAGAGTTCGGCTGCTGAGACTACCCAGAACGAGGTCTAGAAGAGAGTGATTTGTCAGGGAGCGGGCCCATCAGAACCAATCTGTGTGCGCATGTGGGCTGGGGGGCTGCGCATGCACACGGAGAGAGAAGAAGAGCAGATGAAGGTTTCTGTGGTCATCACCAGACCCTAAGATGAGGACACTGCGTCCCCACACCCAACCCTGTGGCCCCAGGGGTAGTCGGCGCAGAAAGGGAAAGGCAGTAAAGGAAGAGGGCACCGGGGGCCCAAACCTCAGGCATTGCTCCAGGCACGACTGCCTGGATCCCTGCCCAAGGGGACAGAAAGAGCAGAGGAGAGGCCGCGTGTAGGGAGCACCAGCCACCGTTCCCCGAGTCTCAGCTCTGAGTAATTCATCCTCACAGCAACCGTGTGCAATAGGTGCCACTGTTCTGTTTCCTACATGGAGAAACTGAGGCACAAAGAGATGAGGTCACGTACAGCAGGCAGCTGAAAGCTGGGGTTTGAACCCAGGTCTAACATCCCCACCCCCCATGTCCGTGTTCCTACACAGTGAGGACACCCCACCAGCTAGTCAGGCCACACTGGTCCCTGTGGGACAGCAGACTAGCCCATTGGAGCTGACCCACCTGGGACCAGACCTCGACTCCCATGTTGCTTTGTGCCCGGGTTCCATTCATTCTCGCAGTCTCCATTTCCTTGTCTAAGAACAGGGCTCTCGTGCCCATGCCTGCTGCCTGTTGTGAGGCTTGAATGAGACCCTGGCTGTGTGTGAAGTGTCTCGTAAACAGTGTTCAGCCCTCAGCTCACGGCCATCAAGTCGATTCTAACGCATAGCAACCCTGTCGGACAGGATAGAACTGCCCGCGTGGGTTTCTGAGCTGGTAACCCTTCCCATGTCTCTGCATGTCTATCTAGATAGGATAAATCTACAGGAGAAAACAATGGGACCCAGGGTTCAGGGTTGTGGCGGGACATGGGAGAGGGGAGACAGGGGAAAGGAAGTGGGTATTAACAAACCCAGGGACAAGGGAACAACAAGTGATCTAAAATTGATGGCGAGGAAGGTGTAGGAGGTCTGGTAGGCTTGATCAAGGGCAATGTAATGGAGAGGAATTTCTGAAACCCAAATGAAG